GTACTCACAACGGCAATAGTAAAGTGTAACTACAACAACATATAAGGGCTAAAAAAACTTTGACATAGCCAAAAATAAACTGTAACGATGCCTTCAAAATATACAAAAACGTACTGCACAAAATTTCAGAAAAGTAAAAGAGGATACCAGTACCTTGAAGAATATATTTTCTTTGGTTTATATTTTTAACCTCTAAAGAAGAGTATGACTTAAAACATTATTACAACATTTTTCTATCAAAATATTAATCGAACTGTGACTTTAACTTCCAAGAAATCATAGAAACTTTAAAAACTATTTTTAATGTTACTCTGGATTTTCAAAGCCAATTATTCACAAAAACATTATGCTGCCGATCTTTTCGGGCGATCCAAGTTGTCCGATTCCTACAGGTTTCCGAAATTGGAAGAAAGCGACCGAGCTGCTGGACAAACACAATGGCAATGATACCCATGTTGGTAGTATGGAAGCGTGGAAGAATTTCAAAACCAGGAAGGGTATCGACGAAGAACTGGACCACCAAAAAACAGCTATGATTGCTGCTAGAGATACAAAGCGGCTACAGAATCGCTCTATAATGGAAAGTTTCATCGATATTGTGCGCATACTTTGCAAAGGTGGCCGACCACTTCGTGGACATTCGGAAGGAGCGGAAAGTGTGTCACACAGTTGGTGGCTAACTACGATCCTGTGCTGGAAAAACACTTGGTGGAAGGTGCCAAAAATAGCCAGTACACAAGTACCGTATTCAAAATGACATGATTACGCCGTTGCACAATGTAATGACGAACCGATCTTCATCGATATCGTCGATGGGATTAAATTGCCAATTTCTGGCTGTCTGAAAGTAGTTTGCATTGAAGAAGATGAACCACCACCGGAGCGAAAAATAAATAAAATTAGCTAGATTGAACAGTAGGGAAATAGTGGGAGGTGAACAGCACTATACACCACGCACTTTGGAGTCCTCCCCATCCCAGATTAAATGAACCATAGATAAAAAATTGCCCCTCCTTAACAAGATTCCTGTGCATGCTAGGGCTGTGGTTTTTAGTTTCCAGGAAAAGCAGAAATTTAATGTATCCCCTGAATGTAACGTTTTACAGTCTGGGAGGAAATCAATAATACTCAATATTTTAGTTCTTCTTTAGTCTCTTCAGTTTTCTGGACTGACATTGAATATAAAAAGGTAGATTGATCAGTTTTGTGACATAATTTCACTTCATAGCAATACCTCTGGTACAAATAGACTGATATTGATAAAAACCCCAAACCACTTTACAAACTTTATGAAACCGCTTGGATTCAAATCATCTCATCCATCTCCTAGGAAAATAAATTACAGTTCTCAGTTCAGCAATTGTGTACGAAATAGATAAAAAAAAATCTCAACGCTATTCCATTGAACAACTTTACAACTATCAATCAATATTCTTTAACCAAACATTCAGCAACAGTGTAGAAAACATAATCGAACTTAAACAACCCCCATTTGTAAATCCACTGTATCCAACGGAGAAGCCGATAAATTACGTGTCACCGGCCAGGTAATTCCACACTTGATATGGGTCGCTCGGTTCGTCGACGACCAACCGGATGGGCGATGGCTCTAGTTTACCCCATCTATGGTTGAATATTAGCGAGGCAGTGATAGAGAGCGACTTGTTCCGGCGGTTGGCACAGTCCGGAACTCGTGACGAAACTTGTGTTAGCTCAAAACTCACCTACCTACAACCTAGCCTTAGCGTCCGGAAAAGGTCAAGGAAAACTTCCAGCTTTCCTTGCTCACAACGTAAATGGCAGTGGTGTGACTGCAGAATGTCTGCCATCGGTTCATGACAAGGGTATTTAATTTTGCTGTTCATGTTTTACATTATGCGGGGATTTCTGCACTGTATCTATATATAGTTGCCCCCCTGTCAGTGGTGGCGTGTTGCATCTTAGATGAGATGGAACGAGAGAAGGTTGATGGTGAAGATTTTCTGCTCAATTGGTTTTCGTTGCATTTGATTTCGGTGTGTGAGGTTGGGATCTGAGGGATGTCGGACCAGGTAAGAACGGGAATAGAAAGTTTATAGCCCGTGGAGACGAGGACGACGTCGGTGATTGGTGTTTGATTATTTTGAACTAACTTTCTCTGTTCGGATTTGGGGATAAAGTTGCGCTTGTGATGTTGACAGGGGAATTAATTAGAATTTTCGACCCTTCGTTTATTTGGTCAGCAGCAGGTGGTTTAGGGTTGATTGCGATTTTTTTTTTTATAAAAAATCTAAAATCAAGTTCGAAGATATTCAGATGTGTTCAAAGAATGAAAACTGAAATGAACGCCAGTCAGAACTGAGCTCGTATTCGCTTAATATATTCCGATATGCACTTTCTCCAGCTCCAGTCAGAGACTGCATGTTAAAGTTTCGTCTGGCACCGATTGACAAAAATACCCAGGAAGAAACTGTTCTCATGAGAAAATCAAAAATAGCACCCATAGATAGAAAAAAATCGAGGAAATAAGGATAGAAAGAAAACGAATTTCCGATAAAATTTCGAACAAATGTCACAACGTCCCGTCCTTCCAGCTGGTACAAATTACTGGAAGGATCGGATCCAAAGACCCAAAAGAGAAACGGGACCAAGTCAAACGATTCGAACCATTCTGGAGTCAAAATCGATTTCATATTCTGATGGCAGTCGATTGCGTATATTTTTGGGCACAAAAAATAAGTGAAATCGTTTCAACCTCAGTCGAAAAGGGAGCAATCTGTTTTTGCCATCCAGCTGGGGCAAACAAAAAATGTTCGTTCGGTCGGTCGATCGAGTGCCATAGGCGTTGCGGAACTGTTAAGGTAGGGTGTTACCGCAGACAGGAAAAACACTTCAACGATCAAATGCAATCAAACCGCAGAGTTAATTTGTTCAGATGAGGTGGGGCAATTTCGATGCAAATTGAAGAGTGAGTGTAAAAGTAGCATCGACCGTTCGATGATGCTGTAATAGCATGTAGAGTCAAATAGTAGTTTCAACATAAGAGAACATTGCTGAGCTGTCTCTTGCATAAGAGCACCTTGGAACATCGTTTAAGACCCCTTTATAGCCTAACAGTAGGCTGGGGCTTATTTTTTTTAAATCGTTCGGGTACATGTTTTCCCATGTGGAAAATTATTACTTACTTACTTATCCTGGTCCGACATCCCTCAGGATTGCACATGCATCACAATGTTACGCCAATTCACTCGGTCCGTGGCTGCTTGTCTCCAATTTGTTGACCGTCCCACACTTCCAAGATCCTGCTCCACTTGGTCTAACCACCTTGCTCGCTGTGCTCCTCTTTGTCTTGTACCGGCAGGATTCGAGGCAAACACCATTTTTGCACGATTGTTGTCCGGCATTCTTAAAACGTGTCCCGCCCATCGTACCCGTCCAGCTTTCGCAACTTTCTGGATACAAGGTTCGCCATAGAGTTGCGCCAGTTCGTGGTTCATCCTTCGCCTCCATACACCGTTCTCACATACCCCGCCAAAGATGGTCCTAAGCACTCGTCGTTGGAAAACACCCAGTGCTTGCAGGTCCTCCTCAAGCATCGTCCACGTCTCGTGCCCGTAGAGAACTACCAGTCTTATCAGCGTCTTGTACATGGTACATTTAGTACGGAGGTGAAGTTTATCCGACCTCAGGGTCTTGTGGAGTCCGTAGTAAGCACAATTTTCGGCAATAATACGTGGACGAATTTCTCTGATGCAGTTCCTATCCGACGTCACCAATGATCCGAAGTACACAAATTCATCCACCACCTCGAGCTCATCTCCGTCGAGTCACGCTTCTGCCTATGCGAGCCCTGTCCCGCTCGGTTCCTCCAGCTAACAGATACTTTGTCTTCGACGTATTCGCCTTTAATCCAACCTTCTCTGCTTCACATTTCAGCCTGGTGTACTGCTCCGCCACGGCCTGAAACGTTTTTCCGACAATGTCCACGTCGTCAGCGAAGCAGATAAACTGGCTGGACTAATTGAAGATCGTGCCCCGCATGTTAAAGCCCGCACGTTTCATAACACCTTCTAGCGCAATGTTGAACAGGAGGCAGGAAAGACCATCGCCTTGTCGAAGTCCTTTGGGAGTTTCAAACGAGTCCGATAACGCACCCGATATCTTCACGCAGCACTGTACACCATCCATCAGCCCTGATCAGTCTGGTCAGCTTCCCGGGAAAACCATTCTCGTCCATAATCTTCCATAGCTCTTCACGGTCAATAGTATCAGCCTTGAAATCGATGAATAGGTGGTGCGTAGGGACTTGATATTCACGACATTTTGGAGGATCTGGGAAAACACTTTGTAGGCCGCGTTAAGAATAGTAATCGCTCGATAGTTCTCACATTCTAGTTTTTGGCTTTTTTATATACTGGGCATTTTACTCCCTCTTTCCATTTATCCGGTAGCTGTTCTGTATCCCAGATCCTGACTATCAGTCGGTGCAGACAAGTGGCCAACTTATCCGGGCCCATTTTGAAAAGTTCCGCTCCGATACCATCTTTCCCAGCTGCTTTGTTGTTCTTAAGCTGTCGGATAGCATCCTTAACTTCACCTATCGTGGGAGCTGGCATGTCCCCCTTATCCGCTGTACTGACGAAGCCATTCCTCATGCCGCCTTGGTCCTCCACCTCTGCGCCGTTCAGATGTTCATCGTAGTGCTGCTTCCACCTTTTAATCACCTCACGTTCGTCCGTTAAGATACCCCCTTCGTTATCTCGACACATTTCGGCTCACGGCACAAAGCCTTGGCGGGATGCGTTGAGGTTCTTGTAGAACTTGTGTGTTTCTTGAAAACGATACAGCTGCTCCATTTCTTCTCCAGCTCTTCCAGGCGGTGCTTCTTATCCCGGAAAAGATGGGTTTGCTGTTTTCGCTTCTGTTTATATCGCTCCACATTATGACGGGTTCCTTACTGCAGCATCGCCGCCCACGCTGCGTTCTTCTCGTCCAAAACTGTCTGACACTCTTCGTCGAACCAATCGTTCCGTCGATTCCGCTCCACGAACCCAACGGCGCCTTCAACAGCACTGTTAATGGCTGCCTTCACGTTGCTCCAGCAGTCCTCAAGAGAGGCTTCGGTGAGCTCTCCCTCATCCGGCAACGCTGCGTCGAGGCATTGCACGTACTCAGTTACGACATCGGGCAGCTTCAGTCGCTCCATATTGTACCGTGGCGGGCGTCGGTACCGAATGTTGTTGGCAACGGAAAGTTTTTGGCGCACCTTGACCATTAGAAGGTAGTGGTCCGAATTGATATTTGCGCCGCGATAGGTCCTGACGTCGATAATGTCCGAGAAGTGCCTTCCGTCGATCAAAACGTGGTCGATTTGCGATGCTGTCTGCTGCGGGGATCTCCAGGAGTACCGATATGGGAGACTATGCTGGAAGTAGGTACTACGTATGGCCATGTTCTTAGAGGCGGCGAAATCGATGAGTCTAAGGCCGTTGGCGTTTGTTAATAGGTGAGCGCTGAACTTTCCTATAACCGGTCTGAATTCCTCCTCCTGGCCGACCTGAGCGTTAATATCTCCGATGACGATTTTGACGTCATGGCTTGGGCAGCTGTCGTATTCCCGTTCCAGCTGCGCGTAAAAAGCGTCTTTATCAGCATCGTCACTTCCTAAGTGAGGGCTGTGCACGTTGATTATGCTGACATTGAAGAAACGGCCTTTGATCCTCAACTTGCACATACTGCTATCGATTGGCCACCACGCAATCACGCGCTTCTGCATTTCGCCCATCACGATGAAAGCTGTACCCAGCTCATGTGTATTGCCGCAGCTCTGGTAGATGGTATAACCATCCCTATACATATGTATCGACGATCCCTTCCAGCAAACCTCCTGCAGTGCTACAATGTCGAACTTGCGGACCCTCAATAGATCGGAAAGAATGCGGGTACTTCCCAAGAAATTGAGAGACTTGCAGTTCCATGTTCCGAGTTTCCAATCGTTAGTTCGTTTCCGTTGCTTGGGTCTATGCCGATTGTTCCGGTCCGTATTTACATTGCTTGTTTTTTTTTTTACGGCTGGCTTGTAGGGCCTGCACCAACCCCCATTGTCTCGCCGGGGGATCATCGTGCACAGCACTGTTTAGAGACCCACGCTGGCACCAGGACGTTGATCAGCCGCTCCTAACATGGTGAACAGACGCCGTTTTGAGCCGCACCTCCATGGTGGACAGACGCTCCAAGACTGCACTCTCAGGAGAGAGGAGTCCCCCCCTTCCCTGTCAGCATACGACCAAGGTCCCACCGGGGTTGGTTACCCGATCTTCCCTATGGTTACTCGTACCCCAGCCAGCACCGCGGGGAGGTAGGGATAGGAGTTACTGGACAAGAGGCTAAGGACCGCCGAGGAATATTTTTTTCATTTTACGATATCCTTCTCTCCTGCCTGGCATAGTGATGTTTCCGCATATGGACTTATGCTTACATTTTTATATAGGGTTAACTACTCCATTTTCAGCTTATTAAGCACAACTCTCACTTAGTCTTTCTTAATCTAGCATAGTTTGGCTTCCAAATTTATTTACCTTTCCGTGCGTACCGTAATATTTGATAACGAGAAACCAATCTTTAAGATATTGTTAAAAGTCTAACACTGCTTCTTGACGCCAAACTCGGCCTACGGATTCTAAACTCGGCCTAACGCATTGAAACGCCATTGAAACGCCAATGAATTCACTTCGGCCTATCGGATGAAGATAAAAATTTATTCGGTCGGAGCGCTTCTTTTGTTTTTGGGAATAATGGGTGCAAACATTCATATCACGCGTTTTCATTGACTTCATTCGGTAGCTTATTAACTGAAGTATCGTACCAAACGCATAATTGACTTGGTAACTTGTTGTCGATAAATGGGCGATTAGGCCGAAGTAGTTCTCTATCCTATCTAAATTAGTATCCATGCGGTGATTGACGCAGCGAGAGTAAAAATGAGAATAAGAAAGAATAAGAGAGAAAGGGAAAGATAGAAAAAAAAAACGAGAGAGCGAAATAAAGGTAAAACTTATAACTGTAAACTCGTTCTAAATAGATATTTTCGATCAACGCTGGTACATTTTTGAATTTTGAATAGGAAATGTGGTGGAAGTGGCCTGGATTTCAATCGAGCAAGAGTGAATATCGCGTTAAAGATAATTAGACTTTTTTTAACTAGTTCGTTTATTTGGAAGGCTCAATCGCGTTAGCTTTACGGAGCCGATAGTTCATTGTTCTTTGTTTGTAACAAAATTCACTTAATTCTACGTCTAGTAGGAGTTGGGCCGAATACTCGCGGCTTACCCGAGGTTAGAGAGGTACATTGTCCAAGGATAGGATCAAGGGAGGAGCTTGGGGTAAGGTTTCGTTGTCTCATCAGAGCGTTGTCGCCAGTATGCACGGTAGTGCGGTTCTAGTTTCGTCTGGAGTTCGACAGGAGATAATGAGACTGTATTTGAAATATGATCTGACTAACAAATATATATATAATATACCATACCAATACCATATACCACATTGTATTGTTAATTATTCGTGTTTTGATTTTTGTTTTCATTGTAATAATTGACTCTTGGCGTCTGAACGGGATCATCAGGCGATCTCAAGATTTTTTGTTTAAACTCAAAGGTTTTAGATAGAAGCAAACGTGAAATCTACGTGAAGCCATGATCATGCCACTATCAATGAGAACCATCACGATATGGAACGACAAAGTCATCTCCACTCTCCAAGTTTTAGATCAGGGGTCTCCTAATTGGGGAAGTCGAATAGAAGCGTTTTTCGTATAAATGCCTGTATGAAAACAGTCGGTTCGACTTGGTTTCATAATGTGGCCCCAGTTAACAGGGAGAAATCAGGTTGCATTACTCAGAGATATGATGAGCACCTCAATATCAACAACTAAGATACATTTTTAAGTAAATGTGTTATAAATTGCAGCTTTCCTAGTTTTTCCCCCTATATTCATGGAAGCAACATAGTAAATAATTAATTAGGTAAACAATCACGCTGAAAGAGATAGTTCCAGTTATATAAGGGCAGTACGTACCAAGAACTTAAGAAGCATTGCGAAATCTTCAGGGTGGCTTCAAAACTATCAAAGAACCTCTGGGCAGTTCAATTAACTTCACATAAGTTCTGAGAAACTCATGGAACTTCCGAAAACATTAAGATCTTTAGGAAAGTCGTTCAATGGACTTAGTTTGAAGGAAGTTTGGAATTTATAGGCAGTTTAATCCAGTTCATTTTTCAGGGATATTACTTAGAGGAAGATGAAAAACTTCAGAGTTGTTCCATTACATAATTTCAGAATTTTTCAAGGAGATCCGAGGGATTATTGAAATTCCAGGAATTTCAGGAATGTCCCAAAAATTCAGGAAATTGTCCAGGTCCACAAAATTGCTGGAACGTTGAAGAGCTTGAAAACCCTTCTTGAATGTCTTTGTGGAACTTCATAAAGGAATGAAAACTTCATGCACGTTCAGAGAAGTTCAAAGGCGTTTAGAGATGTTAAGGGAAATTCCATGAGCTTCAAGGAATTTTCGAAAACTTTGCGAAAATACCACGAGATCAAAGTTGAAGTTCTTTCAGATCAGCCAGCTTTTGGAAAATTGAGGGAACTTTTAAAAGTTCTGAGAAGTTCAAGGAAGTCAAGAGAAATTTAATGAATTTTAGAGATCTTAAGAGCAGTTCGAATAACTTCAAGGAAGCTCCGAAAACTTCAGAAAAAGTCTAGGCTTTCGAGGAAGTTTAAAGATCTCGAAGAGTTAGCAATTTTGAATCGTCTCAAGAAAAAGTTCTGAATACAGTTTTATCTTTGCCGACGGTTCGATCCAGGATCTTTACATAAGGGTTGGTTTTGCATGGATTTAAGGTAGGCGCACATGTGAAAAAATTGTAAGCAACCAGCTCTAAATTTACCATGATAGTGCAGCACTGTCCCTAAATGAAGACTAGACCAATTTAGCCGGAAATTGAATAAGTAAGAAGGGTTAAATCTCATAATTGGCGGATAAATCAGATTTTTTAACATCGTTTTGGCGAAAATAATCTAATTTGCATACACAGACATTAAAAACCACAGGGCACCTTCCAACGCATCTCGCAAATTAAGTGCAAATCATCGTTGTTTAAACATAATCACATGGTAATTCTCCCTTTCGAAAGACAAATAGCTTTATCCCGGATATCGGATACAGTAGTCCAGAGGACTACTCTCCGTGATGATCTGCTAAACACTTGAGCATACTCTGGAGACTCTTAGAGAGCGCATGAGAAGATGGAATAACATTGCCTTTCCCCCATAAGCGTTTGCCGTCTACCAGGGTGATGTTTGTTGGGGTGGCAAGGATCGTAAGAGCTTTTTCCCTGTTCTGCCTGCTACTTTTCGGTAAGTGGTTCTCGAAGCTGAGTGGCTATCCTGCATCCATAAACTCTAGTAAGTTAAGGGTTTAACTTGTGGGCATTCCAGTAGCACCAGAAAATGCACAAAATGTTGTAAAACTCAAACCAACTAGAAAATGTCATCATTATTCATGCGGAAGAATGTATGTAATCTCTTTAAACAAGAATTCTTCTTGAGACAATATTGCAACAAATATAAGAGGACCTTCCATCGTCACTGAAAATCTGAATCATTTTCGCCAAAACAAGAAACGCCTAGCTAAATTAGATTCGAGTTGGAAAAGTCCCACCGTAAAAAAAAAGCCAGCACATTCATTTCGACCAAATCAACCATGGAAAAAGCCTGCCTGGAAGTATAAAGAAAACGAACGAAAAGAGATGATGAAGCATAATGAACACAATATTGGCCTAATAGAATTAGGCTCTATTTCCGGGGTGTTACGATTCATTTTGCCTGCCTTCCCTGTACGAGCATTTCGGTCTGGCATCACCTGCTATCCCGAAAATTCGCATTCTGTTTTTGCATAATCAGGGATAGGAACATTTTCTGCGCTGCTGCTAATAAGATTTTTATGAGATTTCTATTCAACCACTTCAGCCTATTCCGGAGTCGTTCGTTCTGGTTGGCATGGGCTCGGTTTCATGCGCAAAGACGGAGAAGCCATCAATGGCCTAAATCTAGTCTCCCGGTTCACGTTCAATAAAATGATATTTTGCCTGCCGGAGGGAAGACGTCTTGCGGAACTGTGCTCAAATGTGGGTCAAAGTGGATTGAGT